GGACAAGTCCGGGAAAAAACCGGACGTATGGTAACCCTAACTGAACAAGTCCTGTTCCAAGAGCTGTGCAGTGCTGCTGCAGGGCCATGCAGAAGTCCGACAGAAACCAAATTTCAAAATTTCACTGTGAACCAGAAATCCTGTGTTTTGGCCAGCTCTGTTTGTGGATCCAGCAATAATCAGGGCTACTGCATTTCCTATTCATTCCTATGTGACAGTACATTTTTGTTCTTAAAAAGTACACATTTCGAATCTAATGGATATATATTTATTACGAGCCAGATTCTACCATCCTCATTCACGTTGAAACTACCTTAATCCTCAACTCGATTTTAAAATGGGACTACCTGTGTTGTAAATACCACTCAAAATACAACTCAACACAAGGGTATCATACCATTGCCCTATTCTAATTTAAAGACAGGTCAGATTTCCATCTTAAAAGTTTAATTGTTAGTAATTAGAACAGATAAATATACCTCTATAAAAAGCTTTTTACCTTCCACAGCAGCTCACACTCCCGTTCTTCCAGGGCCTTCTTATGTCGAGATGTCATAGCTTTGACTTCAGACTGCACCACCTTTGCTTTCATCTCAACCTGCTCTGCCACAGCTTGGGCCTGTTCAATACTCAGCTGGAGAATAAACAGAACACACACATTGCTTAGTCAAACCAATTTAAGTTGCATGAGGTGATGGCTCTTACATTTAACCCAATGCCTCCAGCACTAGAACAGAAACAGGTCAATGTGCTCTCATAATGCTGCTGTAGGACAAAGTTCAAGGCAGTTGTTTTCATGTAGTTTTCCTGAGTGCATGTCAGTTTCACATATTAGATGTTGGAATTTATACAAAATTCTCTACATAGGACCAAATTCTTCCCCAATATAGCCTGTGCAAACCCCACTGATACCAGTGGAGTTGCACAGGATTCAAGTTAATGTACAATTTGGTCCAGTATGCACATGTTAAGTTCGATATCAAACCTACATTCTTTAGACAGGTATGTTGAGAATCCAAAATGACCTTCTTATCCCCAAGTATTTTAGACTAACAATACATTTACTACAGGATACAAGTCTAGTCTTCTAGTAAGACTTCTGTTTTCCACTAATGCAGAGATCCCCAAAGTGTGGAACATGCCCCCACGGGGGGGCCTGAAGGAACATCCGGGAGGAGGGGGCCCAGGCCAGCCCCCACAGGGGTAGGGAGGGAGCGTCACCCAGACCTTTCCTGCCCCCAGCTCTACTCTGGTCCTGCTCCCAGCTGTCCCTGGCTCCCAGTCCCACTCCCAGCCTCGGCTCCATTCCTGGCCCAGAGCAGAGGCTGGGAGCGGAGCTGCACCTTGCTGCAGGCCAGACTGCTGGCCCCAACCGCAGCCCAGCTCTGGCTCTGCTCCCACCCCCAACCTCAGCGCCTGGTATGGCCCCAGAACCACCCCCAGCCTCAGCCCCCTTCCCGTTGTCCATATTTCCCCCACCACCACCTTGAGCCACAGCCTTGCTCCTGGCCCTGGGCAGGGTGGGGGCATGGGGGTAAAGGGGGCTGTGACCCTCAGAAGTTTGGGGACCACTGTACTAATGGATGCCATTTCTATGCAAGTCAATTATATGCAGACAGCAATACTTTTTATATATGACTTGGAGAAAGGAGTGGTGGCACATGAAAATAAAAGTAAGTCTATTGACACTTTAAAACTGGGGAGACATGAGCAAGTCTTAGATAAAGACTGAAACGTCAAGTCCTCTAGACACAAGTGTAGTCAACTTTCCTGTTCTATATTTAATAAAGTGAAACTATCAGCATTTATACAATGCAGTCAGAGAAGTGTTGTGCAAACATTAAAAAGGAGACTCAACTTAGAAGGCACACTTGGAGCCCACAAGAGATAGAAATAAATTCAGACAAGTGACACCTAAAAATTACTGTAATTGAAAATTTAGAAAAAATGTGTTTTATCTGTGCATTTGACAGCACTTTGTCTCCCCAATATAGCAGGTCAGTCATTTCTTCCTGTTTGTCGTTCACACACCAAGAGGGGAGAGCTCTTTTGTATCTTTAAACATATAAAAATAAAAATTGGCAGGGCAACTTGAGGGCGTCTGTAGTCCCAGAAAAACAAAACAAAATCCCCGAACAAGTTAATTTGACTATATTAAATTAAAAATTAAGCCTCACACAATTAACTCACAGAGACATCACCCGACCCCACCCCAAGGAAGTTAAGTACCAATTTTACAGATAGGTAGTGAATCACAGTAGCTAAGATATGCTTGAAGTCAGACTGAGAGGCTGCATCTACAATAGGAAAGTCAGGAGCCATAAGGCTGTGCCATCTAAAGTAACATAGGCAAGGCCAGTGGCAAAGCCTGAAGTAGACCCAGAAGTTCATGAATTACAAGTTTGCATTTTTAAAATCAAGGCTCCTTAAAACAGAACTACTATAGTGGTGGTGGTAGGACTGGGACATTCTTAAACTTGGGATTTCTATTATTTGGCTGGAGATAGTTTTCTGCAAGGCTGGATTACTAGGCAGCAACATCTCTGCATTGTGATAGCCGGAGGTTTGCAATGGAGAAAAATATCTAAATGAAAGCTTAGCATTTGCAAAATATTGCAAAATGAAGCAAAAAATTATGATCAGATCTTCCTATGCTCACAATTTGTTCCTGTTGCAGATAGGGGAGTTTTTTCTTTGGGTCAGAATAAAAATATTGTACAATTTCTCATACAGAGAAAAATCCTGGCATATGTCAGAAAGCATCAGCCACTACTGAACTACACGGGGAAACATGCATTGTTCTGTCAAAGGGCTAGGGCTAGCTTAGGCTTTGCTTTAAAAAAGTTAATGCCTACTGAGCATGCTCAGAAGTGTTTTTTCAGATTATTATTTTCCTCCAAGCCTATTCCTGTATGTATCTAAAGATAGCAATATTAAAAGTTCACTACTCTCAGCTGTGTGATTAAAATGACTATTCCCCTTTTCTCCCTAACTGTGCCACTCACCACCACCATTTTTTCCATCCCTGCATAAAGCAAAAAGACAATTTTTTGGTCAAACTTTTGGCAGAGACCTATCATGGAGATATCAGTTCCATAGTAGTTTTCAGAAACTTATTTTGTGCCTCTTCACTTATATTTTACACTACCAAGCAAAACCCATATATTTCCCCCAAGATTGGAAGTTCTTTTAACATGGTCAGTGCTTTTTGACAACAAATCAATAAGGCAATAATGAAGATGTATTAATTTCTGACAATCATGGCTCTAAGTTTACCCAACTGAAACTACAATGTGCCTCGTTTATCCTAATCAAAAGAATCTGCCTTCTGCTACCCAGTACTGTGGTTTTGGTATTTTATGATCACTCCAAGTTCTTGCATAGATATGGTCAGAGTTGGCACTTGTGGCCCTGTTGACCTCCAATATACATCACTATAGCAACTTGACAATCAAAGATTTCACCCACTTTCATTTAAAAAATGCAATCACTGGGTGATAGATTAAGAGTTTATTTTTCTAAAAATGTACAGATTGAAGGCCATGTGAACATCTAGATAACATTACTTTTCCTTAGGATACAAAGATCGTTAGAATGCAGACAAGGCAATTTCCTACTATCCGTGAAGGACTGTTCAATTTCACAGTAAGAGTAAACTCCTTTCTAAATACCATTTTCAGAAGCATGGAAGGTGCAATACACCAGGGTTGTATGGTTAGGGCCTCATGTTTTGACAGCTGAGGCTAATAATCCTCAGAAATTCAATCCTGAGAAACAGAATAGAGAAAGTGTTGTAAGTAGTTGTCTATCTAGTAAGGGCTTCAAACTAGGTATAGAGTCTTGAGGTAATGGTCATTGGATGGGTTGGTAGGGAAGTTGTTTATAGAATCTTATGACATCTGGATCAAATCTGACTTGGGTTACGAACTTTTAAGAACATCACTTTCAGTAAAAGACTGTCATGCTCGAACTCTATAATCTGATTATAAATGTGGGTAACATCTAAATTTAAGACAAGGGGAGCAATATTCCTGACTGGTAGAAGATCTCCTTGATAAGCGTAGAGAGGAAGTTACTTTAAAAAGGAAACTGCAAAAAAAGGGATATTGACGTTCCAGGCACCTAAATTCAGTCTCTCAAAGCCTGGATAACTTAGTCCAAATTAACAAATATTCTGTGTTGTAGGAACAGTGGAGATTCTGTGGCTCAGCAGATTAGGTCAAGGAACTGCAGCCTCAGAGAGAATGGAGTGATGAGGGGGATTCTGAGAAAGATGCATAGAGATGGGAGGAGCTCATTTTTATTCCTGTAATCACAGTCTGCTTGTCTGTGAGCTCTCCCACAGAAACAAGACAGAGCTCCCCTTCAACGAAAGGGCTGGAATACGTGGGTTAGATGAGAAGCAAGTTCTACTTCTTCTTAGAAGTCTGCTTTAGACAGCCTTCCAAGGGGACTCTGAGAACTAATAACCAGCTGCGTTGACCAACTGAATAGTTTAGAAGATGATTCCCGTTTTACATTTAAACAAACAAACAAACAATAAAACTAAAGAGTATCTGAAAGCAAGTGCTCAGCAGAAGGCATACATAACTCTCCTGTGAAGCTACAGTGGCAGAGCCAGATTAATTCAGTCCTAGTCTGAGATGTGCAAACTGAATTGCTCATCTTCTACCTCACCTGCGATTGGCCAAGTAATCTAAATATTTATCAGCTTCCTCTGCTGCAGTGAAAAGGTGAGTGTTTCTGAAATTAAACTGGAGCTTCACCAGCTACAGCAAGAGGTAATCTCATTTTAAAAACCTGTCACTTTAATACTGCTGGGAGCCTTGTGGGTTTGTTTTTTGTGTGTGTGTTTTTTTGTTTTAAACACGGTGTATAATTAAGATAAATGTTTCAGAA